TGCTAATCACCGAAAAATCCATTAGTTCTGAAAGTTACCTCCCTCATGCTTTTTTAAAAGGGGTCATCATGGCTGCAGAAATATGTACAAGTTTATTTTTCTTTATTCATTCATGGGATGAGGGCATCACTGGTCAGGTAGCATTTATTGCCTGTCCCTAATTGCTGAGAGGGCAGTTCAGAGTCAACTGCATTGCTGTGGGTCTGGAATCACATGTAGGCCTGACCAGGTAAGGATGATAGTTTCCTTCCCTAAAGGGACATTAGTGAACCAGATGGGTTTTTCCCCCCCGACAATTGATTCACAATCATTGTTAGATTCTTAATTCCAGATATTTGTTGAATTCAAATTCCACCATCTGCCATGGCAGGACTTGAACCCAGGTCCCCAGAATATTGTCTGGGTCATAGGATTAACAGTCCCATGCTTATACCACTAGGCTATTGCGTCCCCTCACCTCCCCACATCAAACTTGCACAGAAAGACCGCTATGTCACTAATGCAAAAGTCTAAACTTAAAATTAATTATATTCAAAATACAAAGGGCAAATTTGAAACTTTCCCAGAGGGCCACAGGGCTGCTCTCTCCTTAGAGAGAGATACTAGTGGTGAGTTTAACCTGGAGATTACTGCATCTCACACAAGGGGTGAGGTTGAGAAGGTGTGATCTGCATGTTAACCTCAGCCAGTGTGGGAATTGAACCCATGCTGTTGGCACTAGCCTGCATCATAAAACAGCCATCCAACCAACTGAGCTAAAACATATACGAAAAACACACCCTCCCTCACAGAGACTAGTTAGTGTTAGACCACTTATACACAGTAAAACATCACAAAGATCCCCTCTGTGCACTCAGATGGATGTGAAAGATTCCATGCACTATTTTGGAGAATAGGAATTATCTGGCCAATACTTACTACCCAAACTGCTATCACTAAAACAAATTATCTGATCAACACAGTTTATAGGCACAGGTTGGCTGCCACCTTTCCTGCATTCAATCAGTGATCACAGTACAAAAAAAAATTGTATGAAGATGTATGGAGCTTTTGGATTTTTGAGGTTGTTTCCATGTTGTCATCATTTTGGCCTACCGTTTGATTAAGCTCCTTCTGTCCCCTCATGCCCTGCGTTCCTCCTACTCCTGAGAGTAATTAGAATTCCATTCTGCCTTATTCTCATGCAGTGGTTAATACTCGTTGTAAATAGGCTATTGAGTGCACCAAAACAGCATGCAATTTTACACGATTGTGCTAAGCCATGCACCACCGCGAGAAATGAAACTCCTCGGTTACACAGAAGGAAGATGCCCAATAGGCTGCCATTAAGTCGTAGGAGATTGCTGGGAGTAAGAGTTCACTCAATACGCATCATAGGTACGAGCTAAAGCAATGTTAGTGCAACAGGCTGGTAGATTGCCTTGTACTGAGTCTGCTGTCACACAGGAAAACACACTTGATAAATTGTCATGACAACCTTAGGCAGTGGAAGAATTACTCTTCAGAATGAGATTTCAGGCTATAACTCAGAAACAGTCTATACATTTTGAGTGCAAAAATGGGATTTTCATTAGATAGAAGCTGCTCTTACTGTACTTGGCTTTTTTCTTTGTTATTCACTTAGACCAGAGACGCAAAAGGATAACTGAAAACACAAGCCCATCTCTTTACTACAATCATTGTCGTCATTCATAAGATCTGCTCGGTCGTTTGCACCTTTGAACATTTGTACAGCAGAGGCCCCAGCCACAGTTCTATTTAATTCTCATTAGACAGGGGAGTGCAAGGAAGACAATGAGACACCTCTATCACAAAGGGAAGAACAGGAGTCATTGAGTAGATATACGCTGGTTAAACTAATACTAGTAATGGACAAGCTCCAAGCAAGTATGTTCAACTCTGGGCAGTAGCGGAATATTGAATCAATGGCTGGCTTTCACTCCTGATTTTCATTTCAGTTTGCAGCAATAAAAATGATAAGTGGGGACAGAAATATAACAGATAACTGATGGAGTATTGCCTATTTCTCTCACAGAACAGTTTGAGGTCATATGGGCCCTCAAGCCTGGATTCATTTTAAAGTTGGCTGGCATGGGAATTGAACCCCTGTTGATGGTATTAGTCTGCAACACAAAGCAGCCATCTAACCAACTGAGCTAAAACACGTATGAGAAACACACCCTACATCACAAAGACTAAATAGAGTTCGACCACCTACACACACTAAAACACCACAAAGCCTCAGATGGATGTGAAAGATTCCATCGCACTGTTTCGGAGAGTAGGAGTTATCTGGCCAATACAGCATAGGGACAGAGAAACTTGGAGCCCACATGGCTGGGATGCATCGTCACTCCAGACAACTAAGATGTTTTTGTAAGTTTCTGATCACCTTTTATAACTTTCCGTTAACTAATTATGTTTTTGATGCAGCGCCCCATCAGGGTTTTTAGCTGCTGTTTAACCCTGACTGGCAATTTCCTTTAAATCAGAAGCAGGGGTGGGCCATTCAGCCCCTCTAGCCTGCTGCATCTGGCTTACCCTGTGTCTCAATGTCATGTTCCCTCTTCCCTTAGTCCCTACACCGTCTGGCAATATGCCGTTGTGTGCCGCACCGATCAATACACACTTCTGGGAAACAGGTCGTCAAACGGAAGTGTTAACTCTGCTTCACTCTCCATGGATGCTACTGGATCTGCTGAGTTTTTCCAGCAATTTTTACTCTTATTCCCGCACTTGCAGTATGTGGGTCTTGGATATCAGTGACGGTGATGTCTCCTGACTCTGATTGGCAGCTGGAAATGTTAGGTCCCTGCTCCCCTTTTTGATTTTATTTCCTCCTTCTGCTGCCCCTGTTGCATTCTGCCACTCTCTTGTGCAATCATTAATGCTCAGTTTATGAAATGTAAATTGGATAAATGGTATCCTGCTGATCCCTGCTTATGTTCAATAGGACAACTCCCCTGGGGAATTTTACATTCGGATATGCCAAAGTGCAGCTGCTTGAGTTGGTATTTCAAAGTAGCTCCTTCGGAATTTCGTTTGACAGTAAAATATTGTCAGCCATAATGCTCAGCTGTCTCATCGCTGTACGCACTGCAATGTGAGATTCCTGGCAGTGTTTGCCCTTCAGGCTTTCTGCAAAAACTAAACCACCTAGTCGCTGAATTCTGCTGTTCTTGAGTTTACTTCCAGCTGATGTCATTTTTACTTCCCCAGTTTAATATTTGATGATATACACTCACTTGCCTGTTATCAGCCGGGGACATGGACTGAGATTACGTTATATTGTCACGTGTCAACGAGGACTGCGAGATCAGAGCTGACAGCTTGGAAATAATGCCATGAGTTGGACATGAGATGTAAGTGGGCAGAAAAATGGCAGGAAAACATGAATGCGGACGATTTCAAAGTGCTGCCATTGGTAGCAAAATCAGATGCCATGTGTGTCTCATGATTTTGAAGATGATTGGCAGAAGTTCCAGGGAGGCGATAAGGTGTCTATTTTAATGCAGGCAGTGTTGATGATCTGAAATGGGCTGCTCAACAGGGTGGTGGGAGCACATTCCATAGCAACTTGCAAAAGAGAATGGGATACATTATATTGGATTAAGAGTATTTACAGCACAAAAATGGCCACTTGGCCCAATAGGTCAATCCCAATCCACATAAGCCTCTTTCCGTCTTCTCCATTTAACTCTATCAGTGTTTATTCCTTTCTTATCTTATGCGAGTTCCGAGCTTCCTTTTAAATGCAAACATGCTACTCACCTCAACTCCTTGCAGGAGTGAGCACCACACTCTAACCATGCTTTATTGGGCAGTGCACTGAGTATAGGAGTTGGGAGGGCATGTTGCAGCTGTACAGCACATTGGTTAGGCCACTTTTGGAATACTGCATGCAATTCTGGTCTCCCTGCTATGGGCAGGATGTTGTGAAACTTGAAAGGGTTCAGAAAAGATTTACAAGGATGTTGCCAGGGTTGGAGGGTTTAACCGAAAGGGAGCGGCTGAATAGGCTGGGGATACTTTCTGTGGAGTGTTGGAGGCTGAGGGGTGACCTTATCGAGGTTTATAAAATTATGAGTGGCATGGATGGGGTGAATAGTCAAGGTCTTTTGCTGTAGGCAGGGGAGTCCAAAACTAGAGGGCATAGGTTTAAGGTGAGAGGGGAAATATTTAAAAGGGATCTAAAGGGCAACTTTTTCACGCAGAGGGTGGTGCGTGCATGGAATGAGCTGCTAGAGGAAGTGGTGGAAGCTGGTACAGTTACAACATTTAAAAGGCATCTAGATGTGTACATGAATAGGAAGGGTTTAGAGAGATATGGACCAAAATGTTGGCAAGTGGGACTAGATTAATTAGGGATATCTGGTCAGCATGAACGAGTTGAACTGAAGGGTCTGTTTCTGTTCTATACAGCTCTATGATTGTATACAATCACCTTAAAAGTTATGCTAATAATGTTGGCCATCACCCAAAAATGGCTGAAGTGGCTGAACAATCAAATCTGTACTATCCGTTTGTGATTTAACTGGAGACTGGATTGTTGAAGTGAAAAGCTGAGCCACACAGTATTGCATATGGCTCATAACAGAGGAGCAATGTTCATACGCTGGAACTCAGGCAAATGCCAGAAATTAATGAATGTCCAGAGTACCAAAGAAGTGTGAGAGGGTACAAACTACATGTTGAATCATCGAAGCGGCTACCAAGCTACGGACATTCAGCGCCCTTTGTAGCTATAAAACAGTCATGGCATTTACCATGCTCCACACTTTTAACCAGAAAACTCTTCTCGAAATGTCAACCTGAACATTACCAACCCAGATGGGAGGAAAATCTAGATTCAGAAAGCATCTGATGACAGAACTTTGCAGCCTTCCAGCTTCCTTGGTCGTGTTCAAACTTCACTTTGACTCAGAAGAGTTCGTGGAGCCCTTGGAGATGCAGACGAAACAAGAGTATTTCTGTATGAACAAAATCAAACAGGTCCTCACCAGCTGTTGGCCTCGGACTCCCCAGCCCGCATACTGCAATTCGGCATCCCTAACCTCAGGTGGATTCAAGGTGAGGTGCTCCCTGTATCAGAAGGAAATAGCAGGAAAAAAACATCAGAGTCTCATCCAGAGATAGTAAGAACTGCCGATGCTGGAGTCTGAGATAACACAGTGTGGAGCTGGAGGAACACAGCTATAAAACAGCCATGGCATTTACCACGCTCCACATTTTTAATGAGAAAACTCTTCAGAAGAAGCGTCCTGACCCGAAACGTCAGCTTTTCTGCTCCTCCGATGCTGCCTGGCCTGTTGTGTTCCTCCAGCTCCACAATGTGTTATCAGAGTCTCATCACTTGAGCATTTTGTACGACAGAAGAGAGCAAAGTACTGCAGATATTGGAAACCTGAAACAAAGACAGAGAATACTGGAGCAGGTCTGGCAGCGTCTGTGGAGTGAGAAACAAATTTAATGTTTCAACTCTTCCTCAGAACTGGCAGCAAACATTAGTCACAGGTCCCCCTCGAGACAATACAGGAATGTCCAGAAGCAAGCATTTTAAAATCCCCAAATACAGAGAGCTGTCATTGACTAAAGCAGGAAGTGACAAAGGTTTTGATCTATATTTATGTTCCTTCAGATTCCTGTTTCTTATGATTTGTCAAAATGAGCTTGGAAGAAGTTAGCACATCAGGATTTAACACTGCTGTACAGGGAATATAAACTCTGTTTTGGATGCTAGTCCCCCTGAATGCCTAATACAGTGAGAATATCTCTTATTGGCACAGACAGGGGGAATGGGCGGTGCTGGCTAACCATAATAATGCCAAATTTGGGATATCCAGGAGTCCATTATTCATTTAAAAGCAAAACAGTATGGATGCTGGAAATCTGAAAACACGGAGTTTTGAAGAAGAGCCGTACCACACTCAAAACATTTCTCTCTCTACAGATGGTGCCAGACCTACTGAGTTTCTCCAGTATTCTCTGGGTTTATCTCTCATCATTGCTTGACTGATAATTGTAACATTTTCAGGACACGTCTTTAGAGAGTGCAGCAGCTTCCTAACAAGGGGAGGATAAACCAGGCTGTTATTTTAAAACGAGAGAGAATTTAACCATTGCTCCTTGACACTCAATGATATTACCATCATCGAATCTCCCACTATCAACATCCTGGGCCTTACCATTGACCAGATACTGAACAGGACTGGCCATATAAATATTGTGGCCACAAGAATAGGTCAGAGTTTAGGAATCCTGCAGTGAATAACTCACCTCCTCACTCCCAAAGGCCTGTCCACCATCCACCTAGGAGTGTGATGGAATACTCCCCACTTGCCTGGATGGGTGCAGCTCCAACAATACTCAAGAAGCTTGCCATTATTCAGGACGCTTGATTGGCACCTCAGCCACAAATATTCACTTCCTCCACAACCAACACTGAGTGCCAACTGTGTGTACCATCTACAAAATGCACTGCAGAAATCCACCAGGGATTCTCAGAAAGCACCTTCCAAACTCATGACCACAACCATCTAGAAGGACAAGGGCAGCAGATTCATGGGAACACCACCCCCTGCAAGTTGCCCACCAAGCCACTCACCATCCTGACTTGGAAATATATCGCTGTGTCTTCACTGTGGCTGGGTCCAAATCCTGGCATTTACCCCCTAAGGGCATTGTGGATTGCAGCAGTTAATGAAGGCAGCTCACCACCACCTTCTCAAGGGCAATTAGGGATGGGAAATAAATGCTGGCCCAGCCTTGAATCTTAAGAAAACTTCCCCTCCAATCCTAGCCCACTCGAGTGAGAAGTGATGCTGAGCTCACAGGAATCCTCAGGTTTCACAAATCCGTTGAAGAATCTATTTCTCTGCAGTTCCCTGTAAATATTTCTTCATACTTCCATAAAATGAGCTGTGAGTTGTTGACTATTCCTGATCCTGGGATGGTTGTAACTTAGGGACTAAATCTGTCGTTGGAGCTCAGCAATCTGGCTGTAGGCTCCTCTAACCGGACTCCTCTTCTCTCGGGAAGAGGCCAACTGGGCTGTGTTGGAGCTGCAGGCACTGGGAGAGCCCTCGCTAACATTCCTGTGTTGCTATTGAGTTCATGAACAGAACTCTCCCGTGGATTCCAAGTAGTTTTCACACTCTTCTACGCTGCATCTTAAAATCTTCATATTGTTGCTTTATTGCTGAAAGGTGTTGCATATGGGGATGACAAGACCAAGGGAAGCCTCCAGGTGGTATGGGCTGATAGGGTGGAGATTAGTGGGGGCCAATGAGTTGCAGCAGTGGACATTGTAGATTGCTTATACTGTAGCCACTGTGTAACAATGACGGATTGGGGGGAAACATGCGATCGAGAGGCAGGGGCATCAATTGGGTAAACTACTGTGCTGGCTAGGCTAAGTCATAGAGGTCTCCAGAACAGGAGAAGGATCTTTCGCCCAACAATAACTACCTAAGATAACAAGGTGTAGAGCTGGATGAACACAGCAGGCCAAGCAGCATCAGAGGAGCAGGAAGGCTGACGTTTCGGGCCTAGACCCTTCTTCAGAAAACCAACCCCATTTCCTAGCACTTGGCCTTGTGTACCTTGGTATGCAACTGCATATCTAAATCCTTCTTCAATGTTATGACGGTTTCTGCCTCTACTATCCTTACAGGCAGTGAGTTTCAGATTCTCACCAAACTCTGGGTGAACAAGTTTTTCCTCACATCCCTGCTAAACCTTCTGTCCCTTACCTTAAATGGCTGTGGCCACAGCTTTATCCATCCAGGTGAGTGGTGAATATTCCATTGCACATCACAGGTGAAAAAGAGCTGAGACTTTTGGAAGTCAGGCTCTGGGCCTTAGTGTTCATATGACCCAGTTCATTCAGCTTCTGATCAATGATAACTCCCCCCTCTTCTCCCACTACAAGATGTTAATGGCAGGAGAGATGGCGATGCTTGGGCTGTGAGTCTCAAGCAGAGATATGCAGGCCTCCTCATGTTTTGAATGTTCATAACTGTCACTTCTGTGCTGTGAATTTTACCTTCAATTGTCAACTCGAACCTCGATATATCCAGGTTCAGCAGGTCTTAGGCTCAGCTTGTTGGTTTATCGTCCTCAGTTAGGAAAAGTGCCGTAAAAATAAAAGCCATTCTTTGTTTTATAATCAAAGAACTTCCTTACAAGTGATGTAAGGTCATTAAGTTTAGTTCTTAAACCTCCTATAATGGTGATATCTCACTTTTTAATTTCGCAAAGTAATTAATTGATACATACATTCACGATCCTTAGTTCACCCACAGCAAGCATCAACTGAAAGACTGTGAATCCTAGATTAGCTAAATAACCTTCTGACTTTCGAATGGAGAAATGATAATGGCGTAAAGAATAAGTCTCATTCACAAAGATCATGATTTGCTGTAGGTGCTGTTCATTCTCCAGTTTAATACAGCCATTGGTTTAATACTTTGTATCGCCAGTAGGTGGCACAGCTTTCTCAATATTTTGCTTTTGCAGAGGAGCAGCTAACTCTTCCGGCTCTGAAATGGCAAGACCATGAAAATCTCCCTATCTAATCCAATTACCAGGTTTCAGTTCCTCCTGAATAAAGCCAAATTTTCTGTGCCTTTCCTGGCATCTTCCAAACAACCTATCCAGACATTCATTGCCAGCTCATAATGAGTAATAACCACAACTGTTTCCTCCTCTACTTGTCTTGTCAGTCTCTCTATGCAGCGTGGCTTCTAGGAGCCAGCATTAACAACATCCTCCTCATACAGACAGCTCACCTAAAGTTGTAATTATCATCAAGCGCTCCACTTTGGGACTTTCCTGCCCCTGTGGCATCTTCACTTTCTTCAAGCACCTAACCTCATCTCTCCTTCAAAACATATGTCCTCCAGCAGCAATACTGAATTTTACACTGAGATAACTTCCCACTTTTACATTGAGTGACTCCTACTCTTTAGTGCTTCAGTCTCCATCTCATATCCACTTGTAATCTACTTCCTGAATTGTAAACCTAAACCTATAAACTCGACAAAGCATATTCTTGACCATTCCCTTGACATTGAAATTCTCTGGGACCTCTGTACTTGCATTGTTTCAATCACTGTGAAGGACACCTCTCAAAAGTTCTTTGTACTCCTTACTAGCTTCACCCCATTCTCTCTGTAGAACTCCAATTTCTTCTGAATCCCTTAAAATAATTTCACCCCAAGTTATTAAAGCACCATTTCCAAACCTCCAACTCGCTAACCTTTGAGGTTCCATCTATTACTACATTTCCACAGCTGTTGATTTGATGAATCGTTTCCCTACCATCACCTCTAAAGTAGAAGTGAATCATTCATCAGCCCCATTTTTCATCACCCCCATCTTTCATCGCCCCCATTTTTCATCATGCCCATCTTTCATCGCCTCCATCTTTCATCATGCCCATCTTTCATCGCCTCCATCTTTCATCATGCCCATCTTTCATTGCCCCCATCTCTCATCATGCCCATTTTTCATTGCCCCCATCTTTCATTACCCCCATCTTTCAGCGCCCCCATTTTTCATCATGCCCATCTTTCATCATTCCTATCATGCATCACTTCTAGTGTGGACTCTGAGGGAGCTTCCTGTGCTGCATTTCTGGGGGACTCCCCATGGGATTTAAATATCCTCAGGCAGTTAATTGGTCAGTCTCAGGCTTTCCAAGCCATGAAGCCCTCAGTGTGGTGGATACTGCCCCCAAGAGCTGCCAGCCACTCAGACAGAAAGGAGGCTATGACTGAGCCAGCATTGATTGTCCATCACTAGTTGCCGTGGAGAATGTTGTGGTCAGTGGCTTTCTTCAACCACTGCTGTTTATTTGTTGTGCTCTGAGGGAGGGAGTTCCAGAATTTTGACCCAGTGATGGTAAAGGAATGGCAATACATTTCCAAGTCCGGATGGTCAGTGGCTTTAAATGGCACTTGCAGATGGTGGTGTTCCCATGTATCTGTTGTCCTTGTTCTTCTAGACTGAAGTGGTCCTGGGTTTGGAAGGTGCTGCTAAAAGGTCTTGGTGAATTTCTGAAGTGCATCTTGTAGATAGCACACACTGCTGTTATTGATTGTCGGTGGTGGGGGGCGCTGAATGTTGTGGATGTGATGCCGATAAACTGACTGCTTTGTCTGGATAATATCAAGCTTCTTAAATGTACTTGGGTGGCATTCATTCAGGCAAGTGGGGAATATTCCCTCACATGCCTGACTTGCGCCTTGTCAATGGTATCCTGACTCTGGGGAGTCAGGAGGTGAATTACATGCTGCAGGTTTCTTAGCCTCTTACCTGTTCTTACAATCACAGTATTCATATGGCTCATCCAGTTCTGTTTCCAGTCAATAGTAACACTCAAGATGATAGTGGGGACTCAGTGATGGTAACGCCATTGAATAGCAAGAGCTGAATGTTACTTGCCATTTATCAACCCAAGCTTGGATATTGTTCAGGTTTTCTTGCATTTGCACATGGACTGCTTCCGTATCTCAGGGGTCATTTATGGTGCAGAACATTGTGCAAACATTGGCGAATATCCCACTTCTGACCTTATGATGGAGGGAAGGTCGTTCATGAAAAGGCCGAGGATGGTTAGATTGAGCGCACTACCCTGAGGAACTCCTGCAGAGATGTCCTGGATCTGAGATGGCTGACCTCCAACAGCCACAACCATCTTCCTATGTGCCGGGTACAACTCCAACTAGCAGAGAGTTTGCCATGGATACCTATTGAGTCCAGTTTTGCTAGGGGTCCTTGATGCCAAACTGGGGTGAATGCAGTCTGATGTCAAGGGCTGTCACTCTCACTTCACCTCTGGAATTCAGCTCTTCATGTTTGAACCAAGGCTGTAATGAGGTCAGGAGCTGAATGGCCCTGGCGGACCCCAAACTGGGCATCACTGAGTGGGTTATTGCTGAACAGGTGCTGCTTGATGGCACTGTTGATGGCACCTTCCATCACTTTACTGATGGTCAAGAGTAAACTGATGGGGCGGTAATTGGCCGGGTTGGATTTGTCCTGCTTTTTAAGTAGAAATCATTCCTGGCAATTTTCCACATTGTTGGGTAGATGTCAATGTTGTAACTGTACTGGAGCAGCTTGGCTAGGGGAGCGGCAAGTTGTGGAGCATGTCTTTAGTACTATTGTTGGAATGCTGTCAGGACCCGTAACCTTTGCAGTATCCAATGTCTCCAACTGTTTCTTGATATCCCACGGAGTGAATTGAATTGGCTGAAGACTAGCTTCTGTGCTGCTAAGTACCACAGGAGGAGGCTGAGATGGATGGTCTACTTGGCACTTCTGGCTGAAGGTTGTTACAAATGCATCAGCCTTAGCTTTTGCACTGATGTGCTGGGCTCCCCTATCATTGAGGATGGGGATTGTCCACCACCATTCATGACTGGATGTGGCAGGGCTGCAGAGCTTAATCTGATCCATTGGTCATGGGATTACTTAGCTCTGTCTATCACTTGCCGCTTATGCTGTTTGGCATGCAAGTTATCCTGTTTTGTAGTTTCACCAGATTGATACTTCATTTTCAGGTATGCCTGAGCTGCTTCGGGCATGTCCTCCTGCACTCTCAAATGAACCATGGTTGATCGCCTGGCTTGATGATAATGGTTGAGTGGAGGTTATGCCAGGCCATGAGTTTACAGATTGAGCTGGAGTATAATTCTGCTGCTGTTGATGGCCCATGGCATCTCATGGATGCTCAGTCTTGAGTTGTTAGATCTGTTCAAAATCTGTCCCATTTAGTGCAGTAACGGTGTTACACAACATAATGGAGGTTATTTTCAATGTGAAGGTGGGACTTCGACTCCACAAGGACTGAGCGGTGATTGCTCTTACCGATACTGTCTTGGACAGATGGAACTGCAGCTGGCAGATTAGTAAGGATGAGGTCAAGTATGTTTTCCCCTCTTGTTGGTTCCCTCACCACCTGCTACAGAGCCAGTCTAGCAGCCATGTCCTTTAGGACCTGATCAGCTCGAACAGTAGTACTGCTGCCAGCCAGGCTTGGTGATGGACACTGAAGTCTCCCATCCAGAGTACATGTTGTGCCTTTGCCATCCTCAGTGCTTCCTTCAGATGGTGTTTGACATGGAGGACCACAGAGTCATCAACCAGGGGAGGATGGTACAATATAATCAGTAGGAGGTTTCCTTGCCCTGTTTTTGAGCTGATGCAATGAGACTTTGTTGGAATCAAAATTAATGTCGCAGACCTCAGTCTCTCCCGCAGCTCTCCCCTCCACAGCATTCCAGCTCCTAGCCCATGGCTATGGGTACCAGTAATCCCTGTCTCCTTGTGAGCGATATGGAACATTCCTTGTTCTTGTCCTACTCGGACCACCTACCCACAACTCTTTCTCCGAATACACTGATGTCCGTGGTGCTACTTCCTACTGTCATTCTGAATTGGAAAAATTAATCAATTTATGCTTCCAATTTCCACCCTGTTCTTAGTTGTACCTAGTCCATCTCTTGACTCTTTCCTTCCCTCCCTCAATACTTTGGTTTCCATTTCTGAGGATGGGGTGTCCACGAACATTCATTACAAGCTGAATGACTCCCACAGTTACCTCAAATACACCTCCTCACACCTTGCTTCCTGCAAGGAATCCATTCTATTCTTTGCACAGGGCCCCTGACTTGTCCTGAACCTGCTTACCAAGAACTACTCTTCTGGTGATAGTTCAAAGCCTGCCATTCAACACACAGGGCTTAACATACATAATTTATTAGTGACTTCCCGTCTTCTGTGAACGTTTCAAATGTGTTCAAGAACTTCGATATTATTCTTAGGGCTAAAATGATTGAAAGGTATGGAGAGAAAGTGCGAACAGAATACTGAGTTGGATGATCAGTCATGACCATATGGAACAGCCAAACAGGCTCAAAGGGCCGAATGGCCTATTCCTACTTTTTAAACTTCCCATTCCTTAGCCCACAGGATGTCAGCTGGTAGATCCTGATCACTTAGATTGCTCTGTATTGGGTAGCGAGACGCAAGGTGGGCAGCAGGTGGGTTGAAAACAGGATATTTTTGTCATTAAAATATTTTTATCATGAAATACCTCCACTTTATCGCAAATTGCCTTCATTTATAAAAAGTCCAATTCAAATCCAACATGTCATTAAGAGCCATAAATTGTAATTCGCATCAGTCCATAGCATGCATTGTTCTCGATTTCAATTTACACCTCAGCTGTGATATATCTGATCTTGTGCTATTGAAAGAGGAAGCTGCACATTACCGTCTCACAAGCTTGTGTTGTGCCTGTTATTGAGCCTGCTTCGGTCTGAAACTAACTCAGAGATCAAATAGTCTCAGCCCTACCACAGCAGCAAATCAGCTGCTTATGGGAAATAATAGGAGTTTGTTACTTACCAAGTGTGTAAATTACACAGGGTGTAGTAGGCTGTGAAAGAATGCCGATGAGTCTGGAAAGAAAAACAAGGAGACGCATTAATGTATGATGTGCATTAGGTAACAATGTTTAGGTCCCTCTGTTCCATTCTCTGCATTCAGTATAACAAAGTTACCACAGATAACAAAACGGCCAGAGAGATTAACTTGAAACCTAACATATAAATCAACATTAGATTAATTCTTGAGTGAATGGTTTCCATATCACTCACAGTGCAACCCCTGTTCTGTGACTGTTTTATTATCAAATAGTTTGAGATAAAACTAAATTTACTTTTTGCTATGTCTTTCAGATTTTTGACACAAATGTTTTCATTTTCAGAGTACGTCTGCAATCTGGCCTGCTGCTATGGGCAAGTTGAGTTGACAAGATTAGAAAACATTTATGGAGAAGGTCCTTAAATCCCGCAAGACCCTTCAATCTCTTCATCAGATTCTCCCCTTTTTGAGTAGTTCCAAGGTTAGCATGTAGAAGATCAATACCAGGGTTAACGGCAGAACCAGGGGTCGCAGGGGTAAGGATACAGAGCAGGTTACTTAGGACTGAGCTGAGGAGAAATGACCTTCTCCCAGAGAGTGGTGAGCCTGTGGAATTCTCTGCCACAGAGAGCAGTTGAGGCAAAACATTGAATGTTTTCAAGAACGAATTAGATATAGTATTTTTTGGATAAAGAAATCAAAGAGTATGGGGAGAAAGCAGAAATAGGGGATTGAGTTGGATGATCATCCATGATCATATAAATTGGTAAAGCAGGCTTGAGGGGCTGAATGGTCTACTCTTGTTCCTACTTTCTATGTTTCTAAATTAATACTAAATATTGATGACTGTGTGTAAATAACTTACCGATTTGTTAAACTTTCGCCTTTTCTTATTTTAAGGCTCAGCATTCTTCCTCACCTCATGGTTTAACCTTAGAATATGGCTTTCCCAGTTAATGTACATATAAACATATAAATTGGGAGCAAAATGAGCATTTCGATCTCTCAAACCTGCCCTATCACTTCGTAAAAGCTCGGCTGATCCTATTGTACCCTTCACCTCCAATTACCCCCCCGGAACCTTTTTGCCTTCCTGCCTGACCTCAAGGATCTATCCTCATCTGTCTTAAGAATATTAAAACACTCTGCTTCCCCCATCATTTCAGCAATGGTGTTCCAAAGGCTTGGAGACCTCGGAGAGAGAAAAAAATAATTCTCCTCACTTTTGCCTTCGACGGGAACCTCTCATTTTTAAACACTGACCTCTCATTCTAGATTCTGCTACAAGAAGAAACATCTTTCCTACATCCACCCTGTCAAGACACCTCAGAACCATGTAGGTTTCAATCTTGCTGCCTCCAATGGATTTCAGCACAGCCTGCCCAATCTATCCTCATAAGACAACCCAGCCATTCCACATATTAGTCTAGAATGATACATGCATTAGGAGACTATTCAGCCCGTCTTGTCATAAGTATGTTTTCTTCAAGACTGTAAAATGCAAAATGCATTTATATGGCACCTATCGTGGCATGAGAATGTTGCAAAGGAACTCGGAGCCAATTAATACATTTTTGGAGTGCACTGTTGTGGTTCAGGGATATGTGGCAGCCAATTTGGAAACTCCAACAGCAGTATGGTTATTCCTCACAGAATTAGTTTTAGTGATGTGGGTTTGAAAGGTAAAAACTAGCCAGGCAACCAGAAAATATAGCCCCTGTTTTTATTTGAAATAGTGCTAGGGGATCTTTCATGTCAACCTGAGAAGGTGGATGGGACTTTAGCTCAATGTCTCATCCGAAAGTAGGCAACACTCCTTCGCACCTACACTGAGTGTCACTGTGCATTATGACTGCAAGTCCCTCAGGTGCATCTTATGCCCATCGCCCCCTTTCCAGCAGACAGAGGACAAACTGTTCTGACCCAAGCAGTTACAGACAAGAGTCAGTCATTGTAGGTTTGAGCCTGTCCTGGAGGTTTAAAGGTGGGAAGTGGTATTCCACTGATAGTAGAGTTCAAGTTCACCATTAACAAGTCCAAGGATGTGCAGGTTATGTGGAATGGGCCTGGTAAATTGCCCTGTAGTGTCTAGAGATGTCCAGACCAGTTGATTAGCCATAGTAAGTGCAGGGTTATGGGGAGAGAGTAAGGGGCTAGGTCTTGGTGGGTTGCTCTCCAGAGGGTTGGTGCAGATTCGATGGGCAGAATGGCCTCTTTCCATACTGTAGCTGTTCGAACATGAATATTTTTAGAATTAGAATTAGAATTAGAATTAGAATCCCTACAGTGTGGAAACAGGCCCTTCGGCCCAACAAGTCCACACCGAACCTCAGAGCATCCCACCCAGATCCATCCCCCTATGACCCACCTAATATACACCCTCTACCTCCCTGAACACTATCGGCAATTTAGCATGGCCAATCCGCCTAACCTGCACATCTTTGGACTGTGGGAGGAAACTGGAGCACCCGGAGAAAACCCACGCAGACACAGGGAGAATGTGCAAACTCCACACAGACAGTCGCCCAAGGCTGGAATCGAACCCAGGTCCCTGGCGCTGTGAGGCAGCAGTGCTAACACCATTTGGGTTCAGGAACTGAAAATACACTTTCAAAACTTGCACAAAATGGTCAGGAACTGTGGTAACAAAATGCAGGAAGATATTAATAAACATGCGGAATTGACGTGCAATTCACAAACAAGCTTCAATGTCGACAGAAACTGCTGAGCAAACACAGTATCTGTGGATAAGAAGCAAAGTCAATGTCTCGAGTCCAGGGACTCTTCGTGAGAAGTGGTCTCCAAACGGCTCTCTAACTGACCACCGAGACTCCCATCTCTTTTCGAAGTTTCAGTCCTGCACGTACGCCGGCGCTACAGCTGGTTTGTGTAGACTACCTGGGACACGAGGAGGATGGGAGCACATTTTCTCCTCCATTCACCCAGCAGAAAAGTCACAAGCCCCAAATTGTTAGAAAGTATAATCAACGAAAACGAGAAATGCACCATCTGGAGCTTCCTATGCTACACCAGGCAGGATCAGTAAAAATAGCAATCAGGGATGTCACAATCAGTCGAAGATTTCTAGCAAAAAATACCCCACTTCCAACACACTGCCGTGCAAAAGTGTGACACACAGACCGCCAGATGCTGAATGATGTTACCATGGATGCCACATTGCTGCAATTACTGGCTAATTTGAAAATAAATTCTACTCGCTATATTTGGTCATCTCAACGCTGGGCATCCTTCCAGCGTTTTTAATGAATGCAGAACTTAAACAATATTTGAACAGGAACTGGGGGAATTAAGGAGTGAGAGTTACCAATGATTCTCAGTTGCAATTACAGCTTCTCCTGCTGTAACCTAGATTAAGAGGCAGTGGTGACCATTCTGATGGAAGGTTATAGACCTGAAACATTAACTCAATTTCTCTCTCCACAGCAGCTTCCAGATCTGCAAATGGATTGCCAGCATTTTTCATTTTTACTTCTTAATTCCTTCATCAACAGTTTTATTTTGTTTTTAAGAAGGACTTGACATCACAGAAATAAAAAAAAAACAAGAAATGGCTGAAGGCATCAGATGCTGCAAAGGCAATGGGCCCTGACAACATTCCAGCAATAGTACTAAAGACTTGTGTTCCAGAACTTGCTGCTCCCCTAGCTAAGCTACAGACACAATGGTTGCATCTATGCAGAACTGCGGAAAATTGCTTAGATATGTCCTGTATACAAAAAGCAAGACAAACCCAACCTGGAAAATTACTGCCACATCAGTTTATCCTCTATCATTTGTAAAATGATGGAAGGGCTGGTCAACAATATATTTAAGCTGCACTTACTTATCAATCACTTGCTTGTTGACACTCACAGGTGCCACTCAGTTCCTGAAGTCATTACAGTTTTATGATTGCAGCTCATGTTATGACTGGACAAGTCAATCCCAGAATGAAACCTGGGTTGATGGATCATATTTTGTTTTGTTTTAGTATTAAAGAAATGGTCTCTTATTGGAACATAAACACATAATACTGAAGATTTTGTTTTCACAATAGAACAGAAATTTATTATCAAATGAACAGAAGATAAAACAGAATAAACAAAACCTTCAAGAGATAACAAGGTGTAGAGCTGGATGAACACAGCAGGCCAAGCAGCATCAAAGGAGCAGGAAGGCTGACGTTTTGGGCCTAGACCCTTCTTCAGAAATGGGTGAGGCGAAAGGGGTTCTGAAATAAATAGGGAGAGAGAGGGAGGTGGATAGAAGATGGATAGAGGAGCAGATAGGTGGAGAGGAGACAGACAGGTCAAAGAGGCGGGGATGGAGCCAGTAAAGGTGAGTGTAGGTGGGGAGTTAGGGAGGAGATAGGTCAGTCCAGGGAGGACGGACAGGTCAAGGGGGCAGGATGAGGTTAGTAGGTAGGAGATGGGGGTGGGGCTTGAGGTGGAAGGAGGGGATAGGTGGGAGGAAGGACAGGTTAGGGAGGTGGGGACGAGCTGGGCTGGTTTTGGGATGTGGTAGGAGGAGGGGAGATTTAATTCGAAGATCTATAAACACATGATATAAATATAAACCAAAAGAACTGTGGATGCTGCAAATCAGGAACAAAAACAAAGTTGCTGGAAAAGCTCAGCAGGTCTGGCAGTATCTGTAGAGGAGAAAACAGAGTTAACGTTTCTTCTCTAAAGAAGGGTCCAGACCCGAAATGTCAGTTTTCCTGCTCCTCTGATGCTACTTAGCCTACTGTGTTCATCCAGCTCTACACCTTGTTATCGCAGATTCTCCAGCATCAGCAGTTCCTACTATCTCCTGCTTAGATGTACTCAGCTTTAAGTAATCTCTTCAGGGTTTAACACCTCTCATCTAGGACTAACACTAGCTCTTTAATCCCCTGTAACCCAGTTTACGATAAATCCTTCTCTTCTCAGGAGCAAATGGTCTATATAACCATGCAATTCTGAGGAATTCACTAATTGCTCCATTCAAAGTAAAAGCTCAGACCCAAAAGTTTCCCTCTCTAGGCTGTGGATGT